CCTTGCTGGCTGAGGAATTCTGGGAGTTGAAGTCCACACATCTTCAAGTGGCCAAGGTTGAGAAACACTGATCTAGATAATCTGATTCATTGTATAGGAGTCTTCTCATCACATGATTTAGACATGGCATGCAAGTAGGTGTTTTTTCTCTTGAATTACTTAGTCTTGAATTGAAGCTCAGTAGCTCTGTGTGATGTCTTGTTGTTCAATCTTTGCAAAAAACCCCCACACACAATTGGATAACATACAGTATTTGAGCCCTCCTCCACTTTTAAAAAGAAGCCTGCATTCCTTTGAGGTCCACTAGGGCAGCGTTTCTCAACCTTGGCAGCTTGGAGATGTGTAGACGTCAAGCTGCCAAGGTTGAGAAACACTGCACTAGGGTGTTCTGTCATAGGGTGGGCAAAGGCAGGCACTGCCTTAGTAGAAGAGCTTCTGTCTGGCACCAGCTGGCATTGACTGGTCTTACTATTAGCTACTTTCAACTGGAGGCATAGAGCCCTGGAGGCGTTTCATATTATAATTAGGCAAGTTGTGACCTAAGTCGCTTTGGCTCCACCGACCCTTTTGTTTTTCCTGGAACTGATTTTTCAAAGACTGCAGCACCTCCAGTGCTTCAGGCCAAAGGCTCATCTAGACGACCTTGTTTTCTCCAGTTCTAACTCTGTATTAATTAAATTTATATCCCACCTTTCATTCCAGACCTCAAGGCGGTATGTATAGCAGTCCTTCCTACTATTTCCTTTAACAACAACTCTGTGAGATAGGCTGAGCTGAGAGTGTATGACTGGGCCAGAATCACGCTGGGTTGCCTATAACGTGAAGTTCCTGCTGCTAGTCCAGCCCCACCCCGGCTCTTGGGCTGGGAAGGAGGGACTGGGCCAAAGTCAACCAGGGAGCTTCCGTGGTTGACAATGGATTAGAACCCAGGTTTCCCAGCTCCTACTTCAACATCTTCACCACAAACCAGGGTTATTCCTGGGAAATGGGCTTTGGGGAAGGATGGAGGAACCGCAGAAGAGGGAAGCAGAATTACCCTTTCACTATGATGTTGATGGGGTGCAAAACAGGTAGCTGGCCAGTAGCCTCATTGTTTTCCTGCATGCTGCTCTCATTCTGACTGGAAGACCAAAAAGGAAAACGCAGTTAGGAGAGGCCAATCAGAAACTGTAGAGGGAGGCAGATGCTCTGTGGATGTCCTTACCTGTGCGCACGGACGATGAAGTATACAAACTTGTCATACCAGGTATCACCTCTGGAGGAGCGGAAGGAAACCCGGAGGAAGGCCTTCGAGAGTGAATATCAGAGATGGCTAAGTCTGTAAGCATGTCTTTTCCCGTTCAACCCCACTTCTGGCTTTGTCTGCCCCTACTTTATCTAAAACAGCTTCCCCCATATTGCAGCACCCTAAATGTTTTGGATGTCGATTCCCATTGCCTCTGAGACCTCACCACCCTACGCTGTTGGTTGTGGTGGTAGCTCAAAAAGCACAGCTTGGAGAAATGATTCACATTTGCCCATTTCTCCTTCTGTTATGGAATTGATTTTGTTTCCACTGGTAGCAGGGAGGAGCAAGGGATGAAGTTTGCTGTTCGTGCTCCATCTCTCAATCCCTATTCAGCTTTTCTCCTTTTAAGATTACATCACATCATGATTACATTTATAAACATACAGATTAGAAAGGTTCTCTTTCAAAAACAAAACTATGTTGAATCCTGTCTCTTCTCTACACAGTAATTGTGCAGAACCGGGCACACACAGCTAGCCTCGCTTATATTGGCATCTTGCACAAGAACATCTTGTTCTTCACATTTCCTTATCGTTTTTACACACTTTCATTCTCATGACTGTTCTTTGCTTCCCTGCTTGACTTCATTTCCCATTTCTTACCTGAGTGCCTCTCCTGAGAGCGGGTGGCCTGAAATGGCAGGAGCTGTGGCGTACGGATGTATTTCCTTGGGATCCCTGCATTTGACAAGCCGGGAACAGGCGCCAATTTGACTTGAAGCAGAGAGAGAATTTTGAAAATATCAAATCAGGCCCAGGAAATATAAAGGAAAGTGATATATAAGAACCAGGCTATCTGAAAACCTGTACAGTCTTTTGCAAGTCTGCCCAGGCATGCAGATCTTCAGGAGACACTTATTCCTCAGTCCTACCTTTGTCAAAAGCACATTTAATAGGAACACATGCCTTCTTCAGGAATGCTCCCAAATTATGGAACTCTCTACCCAACCCCACTAGATCCAGCTAATCCAATCCCTGTTATTTGTCTGCCGGCAGGCAAAATCATTTTCTTTTGGTTGGCCTTGGACGTGTTAGTAAGTTTTGGTTGTCCAAACTGAGAAAAATCTGGCTGTGTTTTAAATCAGGTTTTATTTGTTATTCTTAATTGGTTTTTGTCATTGAGCACCATCTCCTGGCAGGAGCATGAAATCTACAAGCCCAGAAACTAAATAAAAATAGTTACCACCTGTTCATCCACACCTAGCAGATTCTACCTAAACCATTTAGTAGGTGGATGCCTTAAGGGAGCTGAGAGTCTTTTCTTCATTAACATAATGATGATGAAATCTCTGCTGTAAATAATTCCAAGTGCTGGATGGTGGGGAAAAAAGTTATGTGCAATTTTTTATGCACATAAAAAGCAGTCAGAGCTTCAATCCCACCATTGTGGCTACCATCTTGATGTTTTTGACTACACCCTATGGTTACCCCTGAAGTCCCTAATTTTTCCTCCAGGGAAGATGGAAGCAACTGATGGAGGACAGGGAGTAATTCTGAACAAAAAGTAAGTGAAAGTGGGAAGAATTAAGTAGCCATCCCTAACTACTGTTTGAAACTAGACTGCTATCTTCAACTTCTTCAGGCTGCTATTTTTTCCAATAATTAAGGAGAAATTAATATACAGCTGCGTAGATTGGCTGCTTAGGCCCATATCAGCTTCAGACTGTTTTGCAAGGGAATGGCAACAGACTGCTGTGGAAGGGGCTTGCCATTGTCATCTTCTGGGGGGAATTTTTCCAGACTTCTCAGTCTAGTCTTGACCTCTGAGTTTTCCTAATACTCTCTCATTTAAGCACTCACCTGGTTTGATGCTGCTTAGCTTTTCCTAGATCAGCCAGCTCAGCAAGGTCATACCTGCTGGGTGACCCTACTGATGACACCTGAATTCTGACCTACAAACCTCCAGCATCCCCACCCTAATCCCCCCATTCTTTTCCTCCCCACCGTAACCCCAAAGAATTCATCAAACTTACTTGAAGAACTGAAGCTCCCTGGAAGGACAAAACAGAAGAGTACTGAAAGGAAATGGAGGGCTCATATGCCAATTCTCCCAGATTTTCTAGTTTCACTGTTAAGTTCAGTATGAAATTTGGGTTCAGCCTCAGTCCTTTAGATCTGAAATACAACAATGGAAAATATTTCCTCAATACCAAGGACCACTGGTGACTTCCTGTCTCTTTGTCTCCACTTCCCTACATCTGGAAAATAGAAATAGTCACTAAATCTATTACATGAATTACAAGGAAATGACTGCAACACCTTTTATCCAATGGCCAATGTTATCAGAGCACAAAAGCAATTAAAATGGGCATTTGGTGTGCTGTCCTTTATTGCAGACCACTAAACTCGCCGTCTCCAGCACAAGAGGGCTGATAGAAGCAGATACAGGACATGATCCAAGAGGTGCATCTCAGACCCTATTATATAAGGGAATTCTGGGAGAAACCTCCAGAAAGTACACTGGAGTCATCAACACATTCATAGGCTCTGGTGTTTTAGATACAATTTCACAATGAATCTTGGGTCCCTCTCTCAGCTTGTGCACAGCTTCCTACCAACCAGAGGTAGCATTTCTGGGTGTCCTGTAACCATCCAAGTGGATGGCTGAGATGCATCTCTTGACTCTTGCACCATATCATGTCTTTCCACAGGATCCGAGGTCACAATAGCAAAGGACAGCATTAAAAACAATGGACACCACACGTTACTCACCCTGAAAAGTTAAAAGATACAGAAAGATCAGGCGCACACACACCATCCTGACCACAGTCTTTCTGGAAGGGAACCTGACAAAGTAAGAGAGAAGCAGCAATGGCATGAGCAACATAGGCTAACATACAGAAGGAGCATTCTTCAGGAGGGCACAGATGGAGGCAGGCAAAGGCACAAATTGATGTACAGGTGGGCAGGATCATACATCTGACACAAGATAGTTTGTATTAAGAGTTCCCCAAGCATTTTACTTCTTTAGGAGGATGGACTTTTCCTATCTTCTCATTATGAAATCTGTTTGATAGTTTTCCTCTATGGACATGAGGAGAATCCATATGATCACACAATTATAACCACTAACCTGTTTCAATTTAGCCAGGTTACAGCATACCAGAACCCTTCATACCTGTGAGATGCCTTCACAACTAACATGCATGCCTGTGAGAGATTGTGGGTAAAGCAATGGGTAAGTCACCTGACAGATTATCTCACAGACCACAATTCAGCCCAAGTAGAGAGAGATTTAAGAGAAAGCGTTTGAGAGACTCCACCTTAGTGAACTTATTATAAATGAGACCGGGGACTTATTACAGTTTCCAAGATTCTGTATTTACCCCGACCCCATTAAAGGTACCTTACTGATATCTGCAGTTCTTGCCAGCTCTGTGGGGCTTGACAATACCAAAGCCCTGGATTTATTACAAACTCAGCTTCTGTAGGAGATGCAAAGGACTCTCTTTTGAATCGATTTGCTTACAAATGTGCCTGCCAATTTGTTTCAGGAGGTGAAAATGGTGTAAAACAAGAATGATGGCTAAGCCAGTGGGCAGACACTTGCATTTAGACTGGGGCCAGCCACCTTCTCTCCTCCAAGCCTACCTCGCTTGTGAAGATTACCAGTATGCACATCATCCCCAGCTCCTTGGAGTAAAGGCAAATTCCAAAGAGATGGAGTGGACTGGCACGAAGTCATAAATGCTCAGGACGGAGGTGTTAGTTCCTGATAAAGAAAGTGAAAGAGCTGGACTATAAAAAAAATACCTCGACGTCAGTGGAGGTTTTTGTCTCAGGGTGAAGGACGGGTCGGAGGTTCCTGTCAGAGGCGTCTGGTTCTTCCTGCACTGAGAAGTTTGTCTGCAGCACAACTGGAGAGAAGGAGTCATCCAGGCAGACCTGGGGTCAATTAAAAAAGAGATTCTGGGGATCAGAAATTTCTACTCAGATCAGCGCATTCCTCGAATCATTCTACCAATAATTCTTACAGCTACACTCCTAACAGCAGGAGCGTCAACTGTATCCGTTCTCCAATTTCTCACAAAGCCATTTGAAGCCAACCTATCTTGATTTATGGGTTTGAAGATAAAGGAAGATGTAGATTAAATGAGGGACTGAAGGGACTTGTACAATATCTAAGAGGGAGGAGGGACTATAAAATTGTAACTATCTGATCAAAAGAAGGTCAGAAGTCATTATATTTCTTAACTTTAGGGTTTTTTTCTTCTCTTTTTTCATTTCTTGCAT